CTAAATTGTTAGTATATTATGCTGTGGATTACAGCTGATTTCTATTAAACACAAGGGCAGATAATAAACTTCCTGGGCATGTTTTACTCTCAATACACAGCCAGGCAGTAAAAATGCAACTCAATGGATTAAGATTTAATTAACAAGAAAGTTTGCAAATGCTTGGCACGCTGCCTCTCCATTTTACAAATTATTTATTCTTGCTGTGTTGAATTTAATTCCACAGCCTGCATTTTTTTAAAAAGTGTTAGCGTGTGCTGGTTGGGAAAATGCTTTTCAGCTCCCCTCTGAGGAGTAAGATCTACTATTACCTAACTTTCTACCACTCCCATAAAAGAGACTGGGAAGAAATATGCAGCAGTACACTATAACGTGACAAAGAAGCAAGAGCTGATCTGCGATTTGGTGAGCCTAGGACTTAATCTAACCCTTGTGAAAGAACTGTCATCATTTTCAATACCAATCATTTTCCAAATGATTGCTCCACATTGGCTGTGTTCACACAACACACGTAGTTTGTTTAACCATTGAATACTAAATAAACTGCAAGTGGGTAAATTATTCAGCACATTAAACCATAAATTCTGGTTTAACAACTACATTGGGCCAGTTTATGCAATGCGTTCAGCCACAAGCAGGTAAAGCACCATTTGGATCAACAAATAGTGCAAAGCCAATGTGTTTCCATCTATCTTACATCAAGAGTTAGCATGCAGAGGAAAAAGGAAGAATGCAGCCCGTTCTTCTTACAGGCTGCTCTAGAGATGCTATAGGAAAATTCACCATTATAGCATAATATAGAGCAATCATATAAAACCTGTGCTCATTTTTTGCAGGAAAATGACTGCAAACTGGGGGTTTGACAGAAATAAAGTGAAATCCATTGGATGTGGCGATTTTTAGTTGTAGTTGTATGGGATAGCTTTCCATCTATGTTTAGAAGCAATCTAGTTCCACCTCTATCCTCTCTGATTTTTATCTGCCTCTATCCAATTCAGCTGATCATCTTGGGCCATAGAAAAGTCTATGGGTCCTTTTCACATGTTCCCAACACTTTCAGGGGTCACTTCTAAGGTCCACTACTCACCTTTGAGCTGTCCAAACTAATAGGGGGAAATGATTGTAGGACATTGGCAGGATTGTCTCAGCAACATTTTGGCCACTTGAAATTCTAAGCTGATGAATGCTCCTGAGTTTAATATGTGACATCTCTAAGACTTTAAGGTGAGACCATATACAATTGGAGATCTTTTACAAACTCTGAATAGCACTGCCATGAGAACTTTCTCAAAAAACAAAAATGATACAGAGAAGCTAGATTAATGTATTCCACTTACTCTTTTCCTGATTCCAAGGCAACAGGAGTATGTGCAGTGGGGTCAAAAAAAAAGTCAATGTGATGGTTACAACAATGTAACTGAATCCCTGCCTTTTACATATATGTACGGATGGATTCCTAACTGGCTGACCAACCCACTCTACTTGTGGTCCTTAATAGAGCTACATCTACACGGAAGGAAACATGTAGTAGAGTACCCCAGGGTTTGTCTGGAATGGTACAGAATCTCCTGCTTGAGCAGAGGGTTGAAGGCTGCCAACATCCTTTCCAACTGTTATTCTGTTATTCCTAATGAATTGTGAGGCATATTAAAAAGGGTGGGGCTTCAATCGCATAGTTGTGGCTACCATTTTGATTTTTTTTTTAATCGACAGAGACATTGCTGTAAGGCAAAAAAATGTAGAAGGGGAAAGAAACTTCTTAAAACAGATTCTTTGCTTTTGGGGGGGGGGGAAGGAAAGTTGTGTATTTGTTTTTAGAGGTAAGAAAGTGTTCCATAGCTATCCTCAGCACAGCTGAGGCTCCCACAGAATTGTGTGGACACACTACCACCAAGATTTCAGCTTATGTTTCCAAACCTTCTTACATTTTCAGCTATTCCTTCTACAGAACCCTGTCAGTTTACAATCCAACAGACAATTCCTTTTTTTCTCATTAACTTGGAATTAGGAAACTCAATCAATTAGATCACTTTTAAAGCTCTTCAATATTAATCCATTTTATTGTGGCAATATTATGTTTCAATCACTTTGAAACTTTTCTTAAAGTCTACTTATATTAATTTAGTCATTCTGATGGCTTGAGGTAGGAGCCAAAAAATTAACTTCCAAGGTAATTGATCGTATTTATCATACATGAGTTGCAATCCTAAATATACTTGCCCAGCAGTAAGTCCCCTTAATTTCAAGAGCCTCAACACCTATGCCAGGGATTGGTCGTTCTCATTTGCACTGTCCTTCATTCATTCTCTGACACCTACCAAAAATATTTTAATGGCATTCTAAAACATAGAGGAAAAAAAAGGAATTGAGAGAATTACAATTGACTATCTGCATATTGCCTCTTTCACTACACCATTATTGCTGTGGTTGTATTATTATTATTATTATTATTATTATTATTATTATTATTATTATTATTATTATTATTATTATTATTATTACTGCTGCTGTTGTTGTTGTCATTATTATTATTAATTATTTTGTCCCAATAACCTCCAAGAAATTCCAACAACATTATATTAACTGGTTATAGAAGCAGAGCCATCAGTTTCAAGCCAATGTTTACACAGTTATATTTGAAGTGAGAAAGTAAACAGTCCAGCTGTGCTACAGACCAGTTGGGTGGGATTAGGTTTCCATACCAACCAATTTTAGGAGCTTTTACTGTCTTAATTCAACCATGCACTGAACTTGTTCTTTGTGAGTAATAGTTTTCCTGGGCCAAACACTCCACGGGACAGAAAGAAAAATCCATCCTACAGAAGCATTATCCTTAGGGAGGTACAGTAGGAGATTCCTACCAGCTCTTTTACTTCATAGCTTTATTTAGCAACATAGAAAAAAGGGAGTCTTGGTTATTGTTTTCTTCCTCCAAGTCCTAAATGATTTTTTTTAGACCACTGGGCTTTCTTTCCATGAAGGGCAATTAGGACTGATTGATATATAGTACCAAAGACTCCCAATCTTGTCAGATTTTTTTAAATTAGCTTTTATAAAAAAAAAACCAAAAAATGTCCAGGGAAGCTGGCTTGAATAAAATTTCCGCTGTCCTTTGTCGGTCAGTTTTCTTATAGACAAGCTATTGGCCAAGAGCTAGGATGCCTCTTAGACTAGAAATTCAAGGTGTGCTCCTCTCTGATTGAAAATTAAAAAGTAGAATGTAAATTTTGAAATGCAGGGGAGGAAGAATAGAGGCTCTTATTGGTAAATTTGATTTTCCCAGGTTTAAATTGCTGGATTTTGTCGTCATGATCAAAAGCAGTAAAATAATATTTTACAGAGTTATGGGCACCAATGAAATCCTATAGCACTGGTTCAAAAATAAATCCTACTGAATATAAAGGGGCTTATTCTCAGGTAAGGAGACCAGGAGCGGTGTTTCAGGAAGACCAGAGGACAGAATAATTCACACCCGCAGAATATCAGTCCTTAGGTTCACCACTAGAAACACCACTCTTTGGGGGGGGGGAATTGTTCTATCCTTGAAAGATATTTCCAAAATTCTTGCAGTAAGAACATTGTAACTATAATATAATGTGCATTTGAACTGCAGAATTGGTTACATATTACTGACAGAATCACCTATTTTAGACTGATCTGTTTAATTGGAGCTGCCGGGATTACTGAAAATAATCTGAAACCAGTTCTTCATTTGATGTACGTAAATTGGAATTGCCCTCAGAAGCTAAAATACTGCAAATAAACGAAACAGCAGAAGTTACTACTAGGGCAGGTTTTAATACAAAATAATATTTATTTCTAGTTTTCTATGAAATGAAAACAGAAGGGAAAAACAAACTCAGAAAAAAACCTTGTTTGAAATGGCAAGAAGTTTGTTACTGAAACCAGACAGCATTTTCGTTCAGATCATTCGTTAAACCCCGGTCAACAACGGCCTTTGGATCGAGTCCAAAGGAAAGGACAATTACAAATATATTTACTTTTTAACCTTATTTACACATTATATTTCCCCTGGGAATAGACAGAACGAAGAGTTAATTTTTTTTTTTTTACAATATGTTTAATCTCTAGGATGACGCGTTTCCAAAATGAAAACTGACTAACGTTTCCTTTACCATTAATAATAACTTCGGCTACAAATTACATTAATAATTTAAATTCCCATTATTTTTTTTAACATTATGCTGTACACTTGCTGGTATAAGAGATACAGATAGAAGTATGGATGCGACCCGAGGGGAATATCCATGTTTACAGCTATATGCAAAATATAATCATGAGGGACAACTTTTAACAGTAAAAACGCATTTACTCGTTTTGCTTAATCAACACACTTAAGAGGTTCGCCAAGTTCCATACATTTGACCACTTGGGGTTGCAACAAATAGAGTTGAAATGAAACCCGGGTCACCTAAAATCGGGCGAAACCAAGGCTGGGGAGGGGGGGGGACCAGGTGATTTCCCATTGTTACAGAAACCGACAAAAGAATTCGGCAACAGCGCTGCCCATAGACACGTTACACGTCTCGGGTTATATAACGTTTTGCAAAATTCCGCCTCGCCCTAAATCACTGGCGATATGTCCCGTTCACTCGGCTGATGGCGGGATTGCGCCTTCTCCTCCTCGCTTGTTCCGCGAAAAGTGCCGTAGCCCCCCCCCCTCCCTCCCTCCCTCCCTCCCGCCGCCTCAGCTCCAACTCGGACTACTCCGCTGCTTCGCTTTCCGGGGAACTTACTTCTAACTGGCGCGTTTCGTAATCTGAGGATAAGCGGCGCTTAAAGAGCCGCTGCGATGCCGGCGGGGAATCGAGCCCTCGGTTAGACCAGGTCGCTCCCCCGCTGCCTTCCGAGAATTCGCTGCCTCAGCTGCCCTTGCGCACCTCTCGGACGTACGCACAGGCACGAGTTTATATCATATATATTTCTATCGCTCTGTGCATATGTATGTACATAGAAAATCCAGCCATCGGCTTTGCGGCCTACTGTTTCTCTGGGGCGCTATTCACCAAGGGCCCGTAAAGCCCGTTTGGGTACGTCTGCTCCTTGTGCACGCTGGCGGCAGCGGCGGCGGCAGCCGCAGCCGCCGCCGCCGCGGCCGATCTGTCCCGCATGAGGTCGCTGAAGGCGTACTCCATAGGCGGCCGGAAGCCCAGCGTGGGCATTAGCCCCGCCGTGGAGTAAGGGGTCATGAAGGCCAGGCCGCGACTGTGCGCCGCCGCGGCCGAGTAAGCTAGGCGTAGCGGGCTCAAACTCAAGTGCGTGCCTAGGGGATAGGCCCCGGCCTCAGCCGCCGTCCCGAAATGGGTAGCGTTGGGCTGCAGGGGCGAGAAGGCGGAGCGGCTGCCCAGCGCGCCGATGGCTGGGGTCATGGCGCCGGCCAAAAGAGGGCGGTGATGCGAGGCGCCGCCAGCCGACGAAGGCTGCAGGCCAGCCAAGGTCCCCGGCGCGTCTCCAGCAGCCCGCGCCCAGGCCTCGTCGCTCGCCTTGTCCGGCCCTGCCGAGCTGAGTCCAGAGGCGGCGGAAAGTCCTTGGCTTGGGCTGCCGCCTGCTCCCCGGTGGTGGTGGTGGTGGTGGTGGTTGTTAAGAATCTGCTCGATAGCCTGCACCACGTCCCCGCCGCAGCCGGCCAGGACCAGCTCCAGCACGCTGCGTTTGTGCGCGGGAAAGACGCGCGTCAGGATGTCCAACGGCGTCCGCTGCTGCCGGCTGCTCGCCGCCACGGCGGCCGCGGCAGCAGCGGCCAAACCAGGCGAGGGGACACCTGCTTCGTCCCGTTCTGCCTCAGAGCAACCCGAGTCGGAGCCCAGCGGGCTGACGGAGCCTGTGCTCTCCTCCTCTGCGCCGCCGCCCCCGCTGCCATCTTTGGCGCCTTTGGAGACAGGCGAGCTGACCGAAGACTCGCCGTCGCCGTTCTCCGAGCCCGAGCCACAGCCGTGACGAGTCGGCTCCGGGGATGAGGTGCCTGGCGCGCCGTCCGTCCCATCCGGCGTTAAAGGCTTGTTGTGTTGAGGGGTCACGGAGCGGCTGGTGAGAAGCGTCTTGGGGAACAAGTCAAATTTCTGCATCTTGACTTCTGGCAACGAGAGACAGAAAGAGCGAGCTGGACGAGGCTCTCCCTGCCAGCGTGCCCCGCCTCCGCCCCCCCCCCAAGGGCCGGATGGGGGCCCATTAAGTACTTTCACCTTGACAAAAATTAAGCTGAGCGCTTTTCGGGACTTCCTGATGGTTTAGCAACCAAGGAGCTTAATTCAGCCACCACTCGTCTTTCTGTCCCACGGAGAACCCACCCAATGGATCTTGCCCTCCTCTACCCTAGCCTGATTTCATCCACGCTTCTGTCCATCCCCACTTTCCGCTGTCTCGGGTGGCTTCAGGTTGCCCTCCCAATTTACCCTCCAGGCCCTATCTTGCCGTCTCTTTCCTCCACTCCCCAGATGGCACCTACCGGGAGACCATCGGCTCACCTTGATGAACTTCCTAAAGAGCTACTTTAGGACATGAAATCAAATCTCGCCACTGTAACTACGGTAGGGCGTCTTCTGGCCGGGCTAAATTGCTGAGGTCGCTAGGAGGCGCTATCTTTTCTCTCGCCTCCCGCCTCTCTGGCTTGGGACGGTCAAGGTGCCCCCCCCCCCAAAAAAAAACTTACAAGGAAAACGTTCCCCGACTTGGTCCCCTTAGATCAGTGTTTCTCAACCTTGACAATTTTAAGGCATGTGGACTTCAACTCCCAGAATTCCACAGCCAGCATTGCTGGCTGTGGAATTCTGGGAGTTGAAGTCCACATGCCTTAAAATTGTCAAGGTTGAGAAACACTGCCCTAGATGCAGGGGAACACAGCTCCCATCATAACTTCTAGTGGCATCGCTGAAGAAAACTTGGAAGGCAGCCTGGGTGGGGAGGGCTCAATTCGAGGCTGATGCCAGCTATGACAGGCCTCTATATTTTCAACGGGTAGTTTATACTACATAGCAATACTAACTTACCTGGAAGTGAATCCAATGGCGTCAAACAGTTACAGGGACACTAAGTGGAACTCAAATGGGTGTGGGAGACATTAGGGATACGAGGGAGAGAGGAAGGGAGCGAGAAAGAGAAGAAATTGCGAAGAAAAAGCAACAGTGTGAGCCCTCACTGCGTTTGACACGGCAAACACGAGTGGGACTATCAACTAGAAATGCCTGGCCAATATTTCGTTGTTAAAGGCAATGGCTCGGATTTTTTTTTTTTTGTTTAATAACTCCGTCCGCGACGTTGGGAACTCCTTATCTTATATAGATCGTGAAGAAATCCCGATCAGGCCGCTGAGATTTGAGGTCTACAAATGATGCTAAAGGGCGAGCAATTGATGGCTGCGTGGAAGGGGAACGAACTGAGCGTGGGACGAGAGAGCGCGGGAAGGAGTCCAGGCGGACCGAGAAGGACCAAAAGGTGGAATATGGGGGTGTGGGGGTGTGGATGGAAACATCCGGGGAGAAGGGCTCCTTTTTAAACTTGCGCAAGGCTGCCTAAAGACAAGATTGGCAAGCTCAGCCCCCGGCCCCTTTCCTCCTCGGCGGCCGGGGGCTGAGGCACCCTAACGTTCGTGGAACAACTCCTGAGGCCGAGGGGCTATAAACGGGGCCCGGGCACCCAAGCTGGTTTCCTCAGAACTTCCACAGGACTCCCTGCCGCCTGTCACGTTTACTTAGCGGGAAGGTCCGACTCCCCAGAGCGGCGGGAAAACCAGCGCCTTTCAGCTGGCCGCCAACGCCTCAGGGTCGGGGCGCGCGCTAGCTCCTCACCTGAAGCCCCCGAGCCTCCATCGGCGCTGCACACGGAGCCGAAGACTTCGTAGGCGGGCCGCGGCGGGATGATGCCGTTGGCCGCGGCCAGGGCCAGCCCCTCGGCCGTGCCATAGAGCAGCTGCAGCTCGCGGGCCTCGTTCTCCTCCTGCGCCTGCTGCCGCCGCAGCGCCACCTGGGCGGCCATGACGCGTTGCCGCTCGGCGATCAGCGTGCACTTGGCGCACAGGCAGTCCTTCCAGCGGCAGTAGCGCTTGTGGCCCTTGAGCGCCGACACCACGCCGTGGTTGCGGCAGCGAGCGCACTTGGGGGTGCGCGGGTACTTCTCGGCAGCCCGCAGGAGCAGCGGCGGGGCTCGCAGAAGGCTCCCGGCCACGCTCACCGGCAGGCTGGCCGCTGCCGCTGCCGCCGCCACCGCCGCCGCTGCCGCCACCGAACTGGGGGGCACCGCAGAGGGCGCCGGGGGGACGTTGGTCATCTCAGACCTCAGTTCCATCGTGACCAAGAAGGGGCGCCGTGGCTTCCAGGGAAGGCGCAGAGGCGCAGGGCCCTCTCCCCGCCGACGCGCCTTTAATGCCTCAACAAGACTGCCGCGGGTCAAACAGGGCAGGGCCTTCCTGGAACAACCCGCCACTCCGCCAGAGAGGCTAACGGGTTGCTCAGCTTGCCTAATAGCCTGAGACCCTCCAGCCACTCCGAAGCCGGTCAAATTACAAAAATGGAGAACTTTTTTTCCCTCAGAAAAGTCTGATGCGTCTCAGCCCTTCCTCTACAATCTCCCCCCCCCCCCTACTCTAGAGCGCATCTGCGTTACCTAACTTCGGGGAAGTAAACGGCGTTTACTCTTCGAGGAAGCAAACAAACAGCGCCGCCGGGTCCCCCCCCCCGACCTTCTTTGTTGGCCCGGCTCAATCGCCCACGGAATGGACGTGGATCCTAAGGTAGAGGAAATCGGGGCTTCCTGGCTCCCCCACCCCCACTCCTAATCAAAGCCCCCAAACTCCGAAACCATCAAAATGGCTACCCCAGCCATTCCATCTCTTCTCAGCAGCGCGGCGAAGCAGAACTCGCCCCGGCTCACTCCCGCTGATTTCTTCTCTGGCAAGCAATTGCGGCGGAACCCGACGGCAGGCGCTCCTGCCACGATCCGAGGAAAGGAGAGCAGCTGCGCTCCCTTCGCTTGCCAATGTTACAAAACACTGTCCTGACGGAAGCGCGCGCGAGCCCCTGGAGACGCGGCAGTCCCAGTGCCCGTCCAAGACTTCAGCTTGTCACAATCGCACGCCAGCCGAGCTAACCGTGGCAGAAGACAGAGGACTCCTCTGACCCCCGCCAGGGTTTCAGACTTCAGAGTGCAACACTTTCCAACTTCCTGATTCGCGCCCACGCTCCTTTCTCAGCCGCCCTCTCGTTTTTCTCAGCCTACTCTAGCTACCCCTTCCTCCAGCTGCAACCCCGCCAGCCAAAGGCGCCTTCAACAGGCGGCCGAACCCAGTCCCGGACCCCCCTTTCCTCAGCCCCAACTTTGCATGTGCGCCACTAAAGAGAGCGAGAGTTGCCAAGAGATAGAAATCTTCGCCGAACCGCCCGCGAGCGCTTGCTCTATTGTTGCGCCTTACGTATCCATTAGACAACATTTGACAACAATGTGGCGCCTGCCATTGGCCGAGAGGGGAAAGAGCCTTTCTGATTGGCCACTCGGATGTCTACAGTGTCCACCCGAAGCTTCTTTCAAATAAACTGTTTTAAGGGGAGGGGGGGCGCTAAAAGGGTCCAAAGGGGGAGGGGAAGATACATTGGGGGGGGGGGGACCCACAGCAAATAGTTTTCATTTCTCCCCCTTCTTATTTTTCTTCTTCTTCTCCTCTCTCTTTCTCTCTCTCTGTCCCAAATTTCTGTCGCCTTGTTGTCCAGGCATTTATTAAAGCCACTGAAAACAGTAGTTGCTCTGCCGATTGATTGTGCTCTTTGAACCTCACATTTTCCTGGGGTGACACTTGTCAAGGGTGGGGAGAACGACGAAAGATCAGATAGAAAAAGTTGCCACTAACACCGTAGGATGGCCGTCCTGAGGGTTTCAAAGCCCAGACTAATTTTTCCTTTTCTCTTACGCCTTCTACATCTTCAGGTTCAGCGGCTGCCCTCAAAGGGAATACCGACGAGGTACAGTATTACATTTTATATTTGGGAAAGAAAAGGGGAGGCTCACTGACGGCGCTGCCTATTACATACTTTCTTAAACTCTTTCCTTCTCTCAGATTTAATTCTTAATTGTTTGCTTAACTAAAAGTCAGTCAAACTGTTTCGGACTCTCCTGTAGGACAATTAAAACAGGGAATCGAGCCGTGAACAATTACGCTCGCTACCACTGGATTCATTCGCTTTTTAAACAATATATTGTTTTTGTTGTCGACTATCAATTTACCTGACGCCAACACGCCTTGGGACTTGCTTGTTTTGAAGAAGTCACCCAGATCAGAGGCCAGTCCATTCGGAGCAAGTAAGGCAACCCGTTCCCAAGTTAAAATAGCCCGAGAAAAATGGACTGGGCAGCTTTGTCGGTTTCTCCCCGAGAGAAGGCAGTTTCGAAATGTTGGTAGTAAGCGTGTTAGTGCAGTTTATTTTCCTTATACGCCGGCGAATAAAATGCATTTCATGTCCCAAGGGGGGGGAATGGTCAACAAAACCTGTACATGTGTCTTACATGTATTTCCAAAAAAAAAACCCCAACCCCTGTAAGATTGGTAAGGCAACCTCTACTTGGCATATTTCGGAAATCTTTTACATATTAACCATCCCCGGAGTAGCAAAAGTGACAGCCTGTCTTTCCAGAGAAAAAACTCCTGGCCTAGGAGATTTTCTTTTCTTTGCAACAGTTACTTTGTTCTACACGTGTGTTCAAGGGAGCAAAATCTCCCTCCTCCGATTTCGCTAGATCTAGTCGCAGAGATTTAGTGAAATTAATGTCTTAACTCCTGCTTAAAAGTCCCTTCCCAGAAAGATGGGAAGCGTTAGATCGGAACCCTCCTTTCCACAGCGGAGGGAAGCACAGCCTGGCGGATATGGCCAAGAACTTGCCTGGAGCCCTGGGGCAAGGGCGGGGGAGACCCTTTCAGTTGCGAGATAGGCTTCTCCACAGTTGGCCTACTGAGGAGGCATGTCCCCCCCCCTTTCCCCTCCTTTAGAGGAATTTACTTGGCCGGAATAATCCGTGTCCCTCTCCCGCTTGGCTTCCCTTCTCAAGTGGGGGGGGGGGTTTCGCATTATTCCGGAATCCCCCTCCCTTCTTTTTTAATTGTCACCAAGGAGCCAGAATGAAGCCGGCCAACACAGGAGTGCCGGCTCTTTGCAGAGGAGGCTGTTAGTCAGGAAAACTATACTCTGGCTATTGGAGGCAGAGAAATTTTCAAAACAGAAACAGCATCCTGGGGATTAACAAAACCAACGTCTCAGTAGGTCTGGATGATCAGCTGGTTTCCTTCTCCATCCAAAATAACTGAGAGAGATTTAGAGGAAGGATCTCCTATAAGAGTGAATCTCTGGGATGGGCTGAGCATCTTGCTCATATTCCAGTCTCCAGGCGATTCGTTCTGCTTTCTACTGAGGTTTTGAGACAGGAAATGTGATTTGGTTTTTATTTTAAACGTGAAGGGCTTTTGAGAAGGAAGAGCTCAGGTGTGTACCTGGAACCAACAGTTGTATAGCTCTGTTGAGAGAGAGAGAAAAGAGAGAGAAAGAGATGACTGCATTGAAGGTAACAAAAGCTTGCCTGGACTTTTCTTTATCACATAAAACAAAAACAAAATCCAAAAACCTGGCATCTAACACTGCATGGAATAAAAATAGATCTAAAACTGCACGGAATAAAAAAATATCATTCGTTTCCTATCTCACAGCAAGAAATATTGACAATGAACAGTGTCACTTTGCAACATGAATTGATACAATACAGTTAAGTACAGTTCGTGATTTTAAAAAAGGGATACCAAAGACTCTGACTATGCTTACCTTCACCTGACCAATAGCAAAGCTTCCACCAATAGGAAGAATTGTGCCAGTGACCAGGCTCCTTGCAGAAATAACTGGGCCTAATCTTGTCTTGTTTCTTTGCAAGAAATTTCCCGATTTAACTCTAAACCATTTCACAAAGGGGTGTGAAACTATATATCAACATTTATTTGAGGACCTTATGTCATGCCTTCTCCGTTTAAAAAAAAAATGAGGCCAGCACAGATTTCAGTCTTTTAAATCCAAAATCCTATAATTATCTAATTGGATGACAAGATAAGTCACTACTACTATAATTAACCATTTGCATATCATATATACATAGCATACAATTTTGCTTATCTGCATAGACAGCTCACGTTAAGAATTAATTGGCTGTTTAAATCATAGTCAGTGTCCAGATATTGAATAATCTGGTAAGCATATTTTCTATATACCCTTGCTTTGGAAGGAAGGAAGGAAGGAAGGAAGGAAGGAAGGAAGGAAGGAAGGAAGGAAGGAAGGAAGGGATAATCTCCGTACTCCAAAATGTGAGTCATTTAAAATCAGGACCGAATTTTAATCTGTTTCTTTCAAACGTGCTGTTTGGGGCTTTATATCATCATAACAGTGGTTGGGGTCATGTTGAACATTTCTGCTGTGGGATTACCTAAAAGAAGAGTCTGCCCCGTTCATTAAGGCAACGTCTTAAAATCAAGATTGGCTTCTTAACAAACATTTTGGAACTCGGAGGAGATTGGGGGGAGACATATTTCCCCCCCACACACACACACACATCTGGGTGGAACTCCCGAAATGCTGGCCCCCGCCTCTTCCCTTGCGCGGGCGGCTTGACTCTGCTGGACCTGCTTTTTTTTTTCCATTTCTCCCAAAATAAACAAATAAATAAATAAAAATCGACGAACACCCCGGAGGGAAGCTCCTTCTGCCCTCCCCCTCCACTCCCAACTCTCCCCCTCCCCTTTCCGTTTCTCGGACAGCGCCTCTGAGATTTTGCTTCTCTTTTTACGGCCTTTAAGGGAGCCTCAAAGGTCGCCGCTTCGCTCCTTAGTCGGACTCTTGGCCAGGAAAACGCCGGCAGCTCCGCCTCCGGTCCCCTCGAGGCCACCGGCTCGTGGAGAGACCCGCCAAGGTTCCCAAACGAGCCAGCGAATCCCCCCCCCTGCAAGAGGCTTGCCGGGAGGCTTCGCGCCCCCTGCTTTTTCCCCCTCGCAGCGAAAAGACAGCCCCCCGCGGCCGCCCTCGACCCCCAGTTCCCTCCCTGGACAATTAAAGGCAGGTCCTTCGAGGAACGGATCCGGGGTCCCTTTGAGGCTCCGCTTTCTTTCTTGACACGCAAATTTTTTTCCCCTTCCGATGCTTTAGGTTGGTTTTATTTCTGCAATGCAACCCGCGTCTTCCTCTGCTCTTGTGAATGCTTCGGGTACTCGGGTCCTTCCCTAAGTGGGGGCCCTGAGATCCTGCTTCCTCCCCCTCCCCACAAACCTC